ACATTTAGTAAAAGCAGTAGGCGGCACAGCTACCCGTTTGATATACGAGGAATTCAAACGCAACTACGAATATCCTTAAAACCTCTTGAAAATACTGACTTACAAGTACCTGACGATGAACCGAGTTCTGCAGTGCGTGTCAGAGTTGCCAACAACGAAATACAAAGAAATGAACAAGAATTGGAGGAATCGGTGCCAATTAGCACTGAGGAATTTGAGAAAGGCATATCCGAACTAGAGGAATATATGTCATACATGCGTAAAGAATTTGATGCTGGAAACTAAAAGTTCTAATGGATGCATCGAAAAAAGTCCGTGATACGATGGCAGATATAAGGCAAAGAGGAAAAAACGTGTCCGTGAACGTACATGGAAAGATTCAACACCATACACAATATTTTCGAAAGATTAAAATTACCTTATAGAAGAGATTTAGAGATTTTTGTTGTATCAGAGTCAATAAATTCTATATATTTAGTTTTAGCTCTTTTGAGAAATACTATATCTTTTTTTTTAGACAAGATCTGTAAATATAAGGATAATCAAAGTGATGATCGCCTGTTGACATTTCAGGAAACTTGCGTTTTAATTTATTACTTATTGTGGGAAATTATTGACAGCAGAACGTAATGATTGCGTATTGATGTTTCGGTATCATTACTTGTTTGACATGCAGTGTTTAGTGAACACAAGTCTGATATTCCTTGTATGTCGATCATTCCCGACTATAGATTTCCCTCAAGCCACAGTAACAACAACAAATTTCTTTTCTTTATTGGGAAGTACTATAAATAGCTCTCTATTTTATCTAATTTAGCTTTTCTTCTTCCAAGGGTTTTCATTCTTCTTTTTCTAAACCTTTTGCCACGCCCATGGGTTTATTTTATGGGAGAAAATAACAACTATTACTATCACTATACAAAAGAGTCGACTTAAACGATTACAGGTTCGGGAATCCTGAATAATAATAAATAATAACATTATATTACTATTGATATGCTTTATTTAATAACTTTAAATGAATTTGTGGCACCTGGTGATTGGTGACCCCTGAAATACAGTTTGTGGCGTTAGTTGCAACATGCCCTATATTACACAAAATGTAGTTTTCTTTTTTCTTAACGCGCAACCCTGATTAATGGAATGGACGTTGAGCGAAGAATCCAAATCAAAGTCCCATGTTCTTCGTCTAACATCGGGCCGGGCTTTGATGTTCTTGGCTTGACATTATCAATGTATCTTGTACTTAATGTCGAAATATACAAGCCGCAAGCATCTAATAAAGACAATCATGTAACAATAACTTATTCTGGAGAGGGAGCAGAAAAAATTTCTGTATCAGCCGAAAAGAACCTTATAACAAAATCAGCTCTTTATGTTTTGGCTTGCCATGATATCGAGGGCTTTCCAGCGCCATTGAGGATTCACGTTGATAATTCGATACCAATGGGCCGAGGTCTGGGTTCATCCGGTGCCGCTGTAGTGGCTGGTGTTCTTCTAGGTGACTTTATTGGGAACTTGAATATGACTAGAGACAGGATACTCGATTTTTGTTTAATAATTGAGAAACACCCGGACAATGTGACGGCAGCTTTAATAGGCGGCTTTGTGGCTGCATATTTGAGAACCTTAGATCCAAAGGATACCGATGCCCCTTCGATACCTCATTCTGAAACATTGGATGCGAAAGAAGTACGAAAAACGAACGATCATCCTCCCGAAGTTCCTGAGGGAATTGGGCATTATATAAGACTAAAGTGGGCGAAGGAAATAAAAGCAATCGCTATCATTCCTCAGTTTGAGGTTGCTACGGTCACTGCCAGGAGCGTGCTTCCTGAAGCATACACAAGAGATGATGTGGTAAGTGATGTATGATTGTTCAATGTTGCAATTATTGCTTAGTCGCCCAGTTTGCGATCTGTATGACTTTTCCTAACAATATCGCTTGATATCTTAGGTGTTTAATTTGCAGCGACTAGCGGTATTGACAACTGCCTTGTCTGTATCCCCTCCGAATGCGGATCTAATCTTCCAAGCAATGCAAGATCGAATACATCAGCCATATAGAAAACATCTCGTATGTACGATAAGAATTATTTAACGTCATGTTCAACTACTTTCGTATTGAAAATGTACTTTCTTCATATGTAGATCCCAGGACTGCCTCACATTCTTTCAAGCGTCAAGCCGCAGACACACCCAGGGTTGCTCGGCATATGTCTCAGTGGTGCTGGACCAACTATACTAGCATTGGCATATGACAATTTCGATCATATTGCCGAGTCTATAACAAAAGCTTTTGCAAAAGAAGGAATAGATACCGTAGTAAAGGTTTTAGAGGTCACTGAGGATGGCGCTCAAGTAACGAAATTGTCATTATAAACTTGCATAAGAATCTGCTGGACAACACTATTAAAACTTTCAACAAAATTATTCGCATTCTACTTCTTGGATCCCCTTTCATTTGAACCTCGGTCAGAATTTGCCCGTTTCATGTAATCGATGTCATCACCAACACCCAGAGCTTTAATCGTCCTCCCTCATATACAATACACGCCTATATTCTGTTCAATATGTAATATCCTACTCCGGTGACCTCTCTCCATTCATTAACTATTTTTTACCTGTTGATCTTTCAAGTGGGATCTGTTGAGCCCTTTTACTTAATTACTGTAACAAAATAATTTATTATTGTACCGACAACACATCTGGAATTTTTACGAACAGACATCAGGGTTAAATTAACTATAATGGCTGATGTAGATTAATTCAATTGTCAGACGCCGCAAGGAGCACGAACTTTGAAAGAAGAAAACCAGCGTTGACCGCCGATCCAATCGTATTCCTAATGTTTAAATATTTTATGTTGAGCCAATCACATGATTTTCGATAATCTGCATTAATAATAAATAATAACCCCTAAATTAATTTGTTGACGTAACATCTGTAGCCCCTGGAATGTTGTGCGCATGTATAATATGTTTACAATGCTCACAGGATGAAGAAAGTCTTTTATGATGGAATCGGACTCAACGCTCGCCTCTGATACAAGTGAAACAGAACGTCCAGCTACACCCAAGCTAAATCCGTTGAAAAGAGCTGCGCCATCTGACAGGAAGGGCGTAGCGCCTATAAAACCCGAGTACGTGTTTAATATGGTGATCTCATTTTAGCAGTCTGCTAGTTTTGCTAAACTTTATATTGATCGCTTGGAATTAAAAGATATTTGATAAAGGTACCTAAAGAGGAACGTCTTACGGAAGAGACTGTATTTGGAGATGATGCCGCAGTGGTAATTGATACAATTCATAGACATTGTTAAAAATCACATTTTCTTTGTATAACATAAACTTCTTTTTATTGGATATTTAGGAACCTCCCAAGAAGAAACCTCTGGCAACTCGTCAAAGAGGACAAAACAAAGAGCACCTCGTGAAGGCATTTTCAGAAAATATTAGGGTAGAGTATTTGTAAACGCAAATGGTTTTTAATATGTGTATGATATTATTAAATATGTGTAAATCTTCAGCTCTGCTTATGGACTGCACAAGGCGAAGAATGTCCAAACAGCGCGTGAGTCTATTACCATTACGCTTATAGTAGGATTATGTATACCCTGCTAACTGTAATTGATTTCATGCTTACAGATGCAGGTGTAGTCATGATCTTTTAGTATATATGAGAGAAAAAGCTGAAGACTTGGGTGATCGATGCGTTAACTATGAGACGTTTGGAAAGTAAGTTTAAATTGGTCATATGTTTTACCATCAATAAGAATTAAGCTGATTTGTTAAAATGGCAGATGTCGCTATGGGTACAAGTGCAGATATCTCAAGGCACACATAAGTTCAGATGGAAAGCTGCTTGTGAATAAGGAGGTATGTGTAAATAATATTTAAACCCAACTTTTTTTCTTTTGTCGTTGTCTTCAATGCATTGACAATGTCCGATTTATAACAGCTTGCTGAAAAAAATATAGTCACAGAGATTAATGCAAATATGCCATTAGATAAATATAAACTTTTGAGGACTTTTAAGGTAGAGTTACGAACAGATTAACGATTTTATCTTAGAAATCGATATGTCAATGTCATGACAATATGCCTGATGTAACTCTAGTACAAATTTCCGAAATCAGAGCCATACTTGAAAGAAGTTCAACAAACTATAAATGCAAGAAAAGAAATGGATGAGGCAAACAGAAAGAGAAAACTTCTTGCCGAAATTCTCGAACCGTCAGAACTTGAAAATTATGTTGCTGGTTCAACCGATAATACTTTGGCACAAGTTGATATACCAAATAAAGCAGTTGAACATATATCATCATCCTTAAAAGAAGCAAGTCAAAGAGCATCAGAAGCAGAGCAATTTGCGGATACTCCAGACGTACCATTGAGGCCCGTAGAAAAAAAGCACGTAAGTTAACAAAATAAGAATATAATCGAGTTATTTTTTATTTATTATTATACTTACTATTGCGCACTCTTGGCCTTTTCAGATTTCCTTTAACAACAAACTCTACTTGGCCCCACTGACCACAGTTGGCAATCTTCCATTCCGTAGAATATGTAAAGAATTTGGAGCGGACATTACTTGTGGCGAAATGGCAATGGCCGTCAATATGTTGAAAGGTCAAAAAGGTGAATGGACTTTGATGAAGCGGCATGTGTCTGAAGATATCTTTGGAGTACAGATTTGCGGTGCGAAAGTGGACCATGTTGTAAGATGTGCAGAGGTTATTGGAAACGAATTAGACGTGGACTTTGTTGATTTGAACACTGGATGTCCTATCGACCTTGTTTTCTCTAAAGTATGCAATGGAAGCAGGGAGATGTTTGAAACTGTGTTTATACGTTAACAGAAGGAAAGCTGATCAAGATAATTTCACGCGCAGGGAGGTGGAAGTGCTCTATTAAGGGAACAAGGAAAACTCGGAAAAATGCTCGTTGGGATGCAAAGGGTAACCATCGTCCGATGCACAAACTTTGTAAAGAAATTCTTACGAGTGAAAACTTACGTCGCTTGTATGTTTAGGTTCTCGACATTCCTGTGACTATTAAATTGCGTACTGGTGTTGACGACAAGAAGCCAATAGCCGAAAAGCTTGTTCCTAAACTTGAAAAATGGGTTAGTAATTCAACCGAGTATCTTTTTAACGTGCAAAGCAATTTTACAATTCATTGATACAAACATCTGTTGCGTATGGTAGGGTGTAGCTTTGGCTTCGGTAAGGACTATTTCTATTATATTGCTTAGATTTATGTCACGTATTTTACGTTCATTAATATGTACGTGATTAGCTGCACGGCCGCAGCCGTCAACAAAGGTATACCAAGTTGGCTGACTGGGATTATATATCGAGAGTTTCTTCAACTATTGAAGAATACAGACAAACCGATAAAATTAGTTTCTTTGGTATGTATTTGAATCTCTATATTAGCGGGCTGTTTCGTTGTTAATCTCAAAGTCGTTTTCCTGATAGGTAACGGTGACTTGCTGTCTTACGAGGATTATTATCAACATATGAATGAACATAATGTAGACGGAGTGCTTGTTGGACGTGGAGCATTGGTATAAAATTAAATTTATCCTTCATTACGAGTGCATATATTATTTACGCGTCTATATTGAATCGATTATTCGTGATCGTTCAAAAGGTTAAGCCATGGCTTTTCGAAGAGATCAAAACTAAGCGTAACTGGGATATCTCATCAAGGGAAAGATTCGATATACTGAAAAAATACTGTGATTATGGCCTTGAGCATTGGGGATCTGACAATGTGGCAGGTATCCTAATATATTTGACATTTATTATTTGCTTGTTAAATGTTACTAAGACTCAAATTTTTGTTGCAACTGCTCAGGGCGTCAATACAACACGCAGATTCTTGTGTGAATGGCTCAGCTTTCTGCACAGGTAAGAGATGAGACAGCAATACTATGAGCCAATAGAACAATTGTACCTCACAAATTCAGTTGCATTCTTACAATATCATTGTTGCTATGTGCTTGAAGGTATATTCCAATCGGTCTATTGGAAGTGCTGCCACAACGTATAAACGAAAGACCATCGCCTTATTACGGGCGAGATGAATTAGAAACGTTGATGGCAAGCCCAAGTGCGAAGGATTGGATAAAAATAAGGTTGGTTGACAGATTCGCTAACAGATTGTCCGACTAAGTAAATACTAACTCTGGCTATAATTTTGTGGCTATATTTGCTGAAACACGTGAATGCTTGAAAAAAGCGAAATGTTATTGGGACCTGCTCCTTCAAGCTTCGTGTTTCTTCCCAAACACAAGTCGAATGCATATGAAGGATAGTATGAATTGGCTAATAAGTAAGGAATCGATGCAAAGATAAAAAAACCTGTATGATGCGCACAAACACAGCGTTTGTTGAGCCTTGTCGGCAAAGCATCATCCATTACCCCGGGCCTCGATTTTTGCGTACCGACTTAATAGTTGTCAAAGTCTTAAATTAAGCTTCGCTAATAAAGTTAGAAATAACCATCAATCAAGTTCGATTCCTTTTATTGTCGTTCTAGTATTAACAACAAAAAAGTCCTCATATTTGTTGTTTGATCATACATTCACATGCGGCTTACGCCATAGAGATTACCCCCCTTTACATCGCTGTTATAAATAACGCTTAAACAGAATCCCACGATAGTCCGAGTCATCCTTGGATCAATAACCCCATCATCTAATACTCGAGAACTTGTCCAATATACATCTGACTCTTCTTCAACGACTGCTCGTATCATATTCTTCCTTGCCTCAGCGGCTTCTTCATCAATAGCTCTCTTCGCCCTATGTTGTCGTAGCAAACCTGTGAGTTTGCTAATTTTTACCATATTTATAGTATTAAATGTGATCAATTACCTTGACGCAGCCTCTCGCATAATGAAATCCATAACACCTGATAACTGCTCCGGTCCCATAACGGAGCATTTGCTGTTAGGCCAGGAAAATAAAAATCTAATGCCGCGAGCAAATATAATCAGAATTGGGAAAAGATTTAAAAAAGACTATGCTCACTTCTGATAGCCATCGACATTAAACCTTGGATTATAAGCCCTCCCACACATTGCATAGTTTCCAGCACCATATGAAGCACCCATAACTATAGATATCGCAGGGACTTGACTGTTGCTTACAGCATTAATAAAACGAGCACCGGCTTTGATAATACCTTCCTCTTCATATTTCTTTCCGACCATAAATCCAGTTATATTGTGTAAAAAAAGTAGTGGTGTATTTCTTAGTACCACAATAGTTAAGCGTTAGTACCAGGATTGGGGCAAGATTATAACATTCAGTGAGCACTATGATGCATTAAGCATACTTCATATTACATAGTTGTATGAATTGCGTAGCTTTGTTAGCCTCTTGTGTGAAAAGGACATTATTGTTTGCCAGAATACCAACGGGTATGCCTATAAGATACATTATGTTAATCATTATTGTTTTGGGGCAAAATATCAGCACGTATAAATGCGACACACCATGAATGTATGCCCATCCAGTAACGAGATTTGGTCCATACAAAGGCTTGAATGCAGTAAATCGTGATCCATCAACCAAACGCGCAATAACTTCATTGGCGTCAAAAAGAATGCGCAAATTAGCAGGTACTATTCCTAGCAACTCATCTTTCAAAAAAGACATTTGTAAGTTGTATGAACATTGTAATATTCAACGTTGGGCAGGTAAACATGGGATTACGTTACCTATATCATAAAGCGGTTCTTCGATAATAGGGGAAAGATGTCTACTCGGTAACTTTCCCTGTTTGCTCCAATTAAGATTAGCAACAAACTCGCGCGCTTTTCTGATAGCGTCGTACTCATCTTGTGCCAACTGGTCCGAGACGCCTTTGATTATAGAAATGCATGAGTTTACAATATTAACATAAAATGTGGGTATAAATTGCTGTGTCAAAGATATATATTACACTTTTGCATAACACATGCCTGATATTCTGCAATGCATATCAGCCCCTCCAAGGCTCTCTGCATCTGTAACTTCACCGGTTGCCATTTTAACTAGGGGTGGTCCGCCAAGAAACACTTGTGCTTGGTTCTAAAATTCCCAAATAACTTCCCGCATTACATTCAACCCTGATATTACGATCCCCCTTCCTCGTCCCAATATTACCTACCCATTGATAGATAATGGGGTGACAGTCTTTGGGTATCCATTATTTTAAGTAAGAAGGCATCTCAAATTTCACATAAATAATATCGACGGTATTGCATACCTTCACCATGATAACATAGTCACTCATGCCCGGTGAATATGCACCACCAGCTGTTGAACTCCCAAAGACTACACTACAAGTAGGCAACCCAGCTTTGGATCTATAAGAAGTAAATATAAGTTAGCTCCTACAATCCGTATAAAAGTTTCAATTTGGAAGTGTTTATTCCTCGCATTCAAGTTTATTGAGGTGAAGAAATAAAGATGAGCTTACGCTCACATGTACCGATAAATCCTCCACCCGTTGGTTCATTCTTGTGTACCAATACCCTTGGAAACCGCAACACACCTTTCAGCAAGATGCCTGAATTGTGCCCCACCAGGATGATATACTTGTGATTGTTGATCGAGCCTTGCCCCGCCCTATACAATGTAATTGCTATATCAGTCCGACTAGTTCTGCTTGGGTAAATACCCTAAAAGCTACTAATTTTAATAAAGACTCATGTTTTAGGGTGGATAAAAGTTAAAATTTGAAGAATATGCAACTAATACGTATTATATACCAAAAGTTTGCCATCAAAACAGAACGTGACTTTACCGTCTGAATTAATTGAACCAGGGGAAGCCGGTTTTCCCAAACAATCGCATTCATTCGCGCAGCTTTAGAGACGCTAACTTCGTTAGAAGAACCGCCGTACATCGTAGGCACATTAGCAGTAATCATACACTCGACGCCGCTGATGTAATTGTAATAAAGTAGCCGATGATGGTGGTTGTAGAGATTCCATTTGAATAAGCACATATTAAAGCGAAAGGATAGCTGATAAATACCAGACAAGTCCAATACCAGCAACAACAGATCCCCCAAGTGTCATACGATCACGACCCCAACCGGCAAGAGGACAAAGTTCCAAGAATGGCGAATCCTCGTCGAGCAACAATTCCACTCTATCGCGCGCTTTGGTGTCGAAAATCCAAATCATCAAATTTATCACAGTTTGTCAATCTTTGACATTATATCAATGTCGCTCTCATTTTGTTTGATAATACCTAAAAGCTGTCCTCGTTTTAAATGTCTCTCTATATTCCTTTGTTCGCCTTGTTCGGCTGCAAGCCGTAGTCGCTCGTTTAGCTCGTTAACTAAATCCAGCATTTCTGCATAATTTTTACTGTAAGCAGAATCTCTTTGCACCTTGGTCTGCAAAACTGCTAATTCGCTGAACGTGTCCATAATGAACTGACAGACATTTGGGGAAAAAGAGCGTTAACAAATTTATGATCACGGGATTTCCGGGTCGGCTGACATTTCCGAACCGCAGACGATGGCGAAGTTGCTTTAATTTACGCCCAATTTCGCCCAATCAAATCGCTATTGCTGCTCCGATCCCATAAGCATGCCCCTAGCATACCGATAGATATAAATAAGTCCATAAATCATTCCAGAATCCCCATCTTTGTGCACGGGCATTATCTGCGCCAGTGAGGAGCAATCCGAGGCCAGATTATTGCTAATTGCAAACTAAACCAATAACCCGTCTTCACGACCGCTCTCGGGGGGTCGGGAAGCAATTTTTGGAAGGGAGTAGTCCTCCCTTTATATTATTATTCTAGCAGTTGGGATGGGGTGTGTCGGCGGATGGGGGCTGTGGTATGTGTTCCGGGCGGAGTGTACGTTTATGGAAAAGCGGTGTCAATGATTTAAGAACGTTTGGAGCACACGACGATCTTCTGTCGCATATCTAGCTCAAATAGTGCGAACATAACGCTCCGTGAATCGACATATTTACATCTGTTGCAAAATGTCCAGTGTATACGTTCTGTATGTTTGCGTTCTTACTGGCTGTTATTCTCCTTTCAGTAGTAATATGACCCACAATCATTAGTAAAAGTGGGAAATTCCCTTTTTTTTCTCCGTTTTAAAATTTCTGCGGTTGACTTGTTGCTAATGAGAATTTGAATCCTAATGATTGCGGAGATTTATTATTCATGCAAGTAAATAGTATTCAATATTGCACTTGACATCATCGACGTGTACTTCGACAATGTGGCTAAGACGGATAGTTTTTTCTAGCAAAATATTGTATACCATTCAAGTCAAAAGAAGATTGACTTGGAAATATTGTACTAGATCCCTGACTTATCAACTGTTACCATCATAATCTTAATAAATAATATTGTTAAATTCCCATTATAACGAACAGCTGTCAATAAGGGCATTGTTAACAATTACATCTACAAACAAACAAAGTTGTTAAGGATTTAGCAATGGTTGGTCTGCACTAGCTTTAAAAAAAGAAAGAACGTTTACGCAAGCCCGAACACTGTTTAAATAACTCGATTTACTTACCACGATAGATTTCTAAGACATGATTTCAAAGCTATTATTGTTACGGTCGGATTGTCTGGGTTTGGGAGAACGATTAATCTTTCGCGTAGGGGTGTTCTTCCGACCGGCCCTTATTATGGTAGCTGTTCAATAAGACTGGATTCTAAATCTACAAGTGACCTAATTTAATAATTAAAACGCGCGCTTATACGAGCTTCAATCACTCGTAATCCAAATATGGGTGCCTTTGACTAGAATAACAACAACAATTATTCTATCGCAAAATCGAAGGGGAATAAATCTATTAATAATTAACAGGGTTGTCTTTGATTTGGTGTTTCGATTAGTCGGGTATCTATCACTTGTCTCTACTAGAAACTGATTAAACAATATTCGTTTTCAATAAATAATTATTAGCTCTCGTTCCTCAATTCGGAGTAATAGATCAACGGACAACTTATACAGCTTAATGGAGCCATTTATTAGTGTGTCCGGTCAAATAATTAATATTTCAACGATAAAAGAAAGTATAATTTCGATTTCAAAGGGAATTGTTTATTTGATTATTATTCGTGGAGTGATCACTAAACAATGTTTACTATATAAACAACATTTGATAACAACATGAGAATTTGTCGATGGGATAAGGGTCACTTATAAGCGACACTCAAAAATCGAAATGGAAGTAAAACGTCTAAATAATCGTAAATTCTATAAAGAACCAATAAAATCCCAAGTTAGCTAATGGCGTTTGTGCTGGCACTTAAAAATCGACACGAAGTATCAACGCTGTACTGCCATTGCTGCAGATGAAGAGATCGGCTTGCAATAACAATATCAACTATAAAAGTTCTTAATGAATTGTCTATATTACTAACTGATAATTAAAGCAAAGTTTGACCGAATAGTGTAAATTTGGGGGCTGGTCGTAGCATAATAATTATGACTATAGAAATAACAACTGATGGTTCCATCATCATATTAATGTTTTTTAATCGGCATGCTGTATATTTATCATTATGTTCATAATTGAGGAAAGATATTATTCAATATTGCTTGTGTGTACCGCTATATCAAGAGAGTTAAAATTGCTCACTACGCTTGTAGGTATCCAGATACAATCGGTTCCGCGGAAAATTACTATACCAAGTAAACCAATCTACGAAACAATAATATTTAATGATAATATCAATAATAATAATGCGGTTGTCAAGTCGCCAATCGAATTTTGGAGCCAGAATAATTGTTAACCTAATTTGTAAAATAGGACAAGTTGGAACCGTGGTCGATCCATTTCCGTCTTCGATGCTTCATTATTATTATCTATATATATATTAAAAAAATTGGATTTCTGCACGGTAGACGGACATTGCATATTCGTATTACATAGTTACCCAATCATAGATGACCATCACATGTTCATATGTAACGCCTTTTTTGTTTACAACCGCGACGCCTTTTTTTGTTTACAACCGCGACTCCTTTTACTTTTTTGTTTACAATCGCAACGTCTTTTTTTGTTTACAATCGCAACGTCTTTTTTTGTTACAAACACGACTCAAATTTTAACACTGTTACTATTACTATTACGGACAACGTTAACGAAACCTCAATTGACGAAGACGTAGATTGAAAAGAGAGTCTAATGCTCGAACAAAAGCTAACCAAACTTTAGAGCAAAATGGACAGCGTAAAAGGCAAAAAAGAGAATCAAAGGCTCGAAAATCTGCATGCAAAGCAACTGCTGCACCAGCTCAGTCTTCATCTTCTACTAATGATACTAACTTTATTATTCCTCTTTCCCTTAATACCAAGATGACATCTTACCATGGTACCAAGGAGTGTTTCAGTTCATGGTGCCTTTTAATTCAAGTAGGTTGCAATGACATACTCTTGGAAAATGGATACTAATACCCCATGTTTTTTTTGTGGTGCCTTAAAATGGTTAGATGAAAGAGTCACAGAATCAACTAAATGTTCACCTACCTGTATTTGCAACCTGCTGTCCCAGGGAAAAGTCCTACCATGTCTTTAAGAACCTCCAGTTTTATTTAATATGCAGCTTTCACAAGAATTTCAACAAAACATCTGTGTTTATAACTCAGCTTTAGCTTTTACTTATATAGGAGCTAAAATTGATGATCATATAACTGGCACAAGAAGTCCTTATACTTTCCATATACATGGTGAAATGTATCATAGAATTGGGTCATCAATTGTTAAACCTCCTTCATTTGCACAAATCTATATTTTTGATACTGATAATGAGACTCAAAAATAGGCTTAATATTATGCCTTCTTTAAATCAGGTAATTCTTGCAACTCTTCAAAATATTAATATGCTTTATGATATTAACCCATATGTAATATTAATATGTACAAGCTTTTCAACAAATAGGTAGATTACTTCAGCAGAATCTATCTCAAAATTTGACTATAGTAATAACAGATTTATGATATTATAATGTTCCAACACTTCTGATATTGTTACGGTCGGGTGATCTGGGGTTTGGGAGAGCAATTAATCTGTCGCGTAGGGGTGTTCTTCCGACCGGGGGATGT